TTTGGGGGGGGGGGGGGAGAATACAGATAAAAATCCTGGGCAAATCCCAGATTCTCTACCATGTCAGTTTAGGGTTGGCAGCTCCAGTTGAAACCATTTGAGATTCTTCACTCTCACTCCAATAAATGTAATCATGTGACATAACTATAAAACCAGACTTACAAAGTAACAAATGTCCACACATACACACGCTCACCTCCCTTTTGCCAGTAAAAAAAGAAAACATAAACAGGATGATGAATGTAAAAAGACCACCCCACCCCCTTTCACATGTAATTATTTTGTGGAGCGAAAATAATCTTTCTAACAGGTAAATATGGCATATTCCAAAACACGTTAGTGTTAGTTATATCATGTAAACTTGATAAAAAAATATTAGGCATTATCTAGCTATCTGTATCTATCTCTATCCTAATTTAACCCACTTATAAATCTCAGAGATAACCTTGCTTCTGGGGGATAGAAAGTTGTGTTTATAGGGTTGCTCTTTGCTCTTCTAGTTTAAGTAGAAAGTTAGAAACTTGATTGCAACATCAGAGTTGGCTCTAGAATGGGAAATAATGCAGTGTGCTCTGTGATTCTAAGCTTTAGAGATCAAAATACCTTGGCTAAGTATAAAAGGGAAATTTTACATCATTTTTTTTTTATTTGTTCCAGGAAATTACCGATAAGGAAATCGCTGATCTGCCCCGAGATAGTTGCCCTGTGCGGATCCACAATCGATGTGTTCTGACATCCCGACCAAGAGGCGTGAAAAGGCGGTGGAGGCTCAGCCGAATTGTTTTCCGCCATCTGGCTGACCATGCCCAGCTCTCTGGGATACAGAGGGCAATGTGGTGAGCTGCAAGCAAGTAATTTCTTCAAACATGACAAAACAGTCATATTTAAAACTTCCTGAATATATAACTCATGGTATGCAAGGATGAGAGATGGGGAATGCTAGTTATGTTGACAAGGATGTCAGTCTGATATTATGAAGATGTGAACCTGCTCTTAGGAGGAGACATGAAAAATAAACTATCTCAGACTTGACTCTCACTCATTTCTTGCACCTGAAGCAGTGTTTCACTTTACTGTTGGAAAGTTTCTGTATCATTACAATTTGGAAAAATAACAGTGTGTAATAGCCTAGTTTACATATTGTATGCAGATAACTAGTTACAGTAATTTTCTGACTTTTATAACATACTTTAGAAAAGGTCAGGTTATTTCTGGACAGGATAGAATAGTATATGCATGGCCCAAAAACAGTGTTCAGAAAAATCAGGGTTTAAGTAGAGGGTACAAGTTGAAAGAAGCCTATAGTTCATCCAATCCAGCTCCCTGCTCAGTACAAGAATTCACATCTCCACTGAACAGACATCCAGTCCATTTGAAAACCTCTAGCAAGAGACAATCCCTGATGGTTCTAGGCAGACTTCCATTGCTTAACTACTCTTACTGCCAGAAAAATCCTCCCTCTGTCCCTTCTTTCTATTTAAAATTGTTGATCTTTGTCCTGCTTTTAGTATGATACCCATAAATATTTGTAGACTTTATGATATCTCCCCTTAGTCTTCCCTTTTTCAATATAATGTACCTTAACTGTTCTTCCCAGGGATTGGTTTGCAGACCCCATATCCTCAAAGCATTCCTCTGAATGTGTTCCAGCTTCTTTTTGTTCCTTTTAAAGTGTGGTGCCCAGAAGTGAACCCAGTACTGTATTCTGTGTGCAATCTAAGCAGTACAGAGTGCATGGCACTATTAGTCCTGAAACCTGGAGAGAATGCTCCCATTAAGGAATCCCAAAACTGCTGTATACGTTGGTGGTCCTTACTATTCCTAGACCCTTCTCACATGCACTGCCAAGTGAGGTCATAGAATCAATCTATTAGATAGGGTCCATCTAATCCAAATTGCCATTGTCCTTTTTAAACTATGATGCCTACAGCTGGACACAGTACTCCAAATAGGACCTGACCTGGCCAGAATAGAATGGAACAATTACTTTCTGTAATCTGGACTCAATGTACTTGTTAATGTACCCCAAGATAGCACTTTTCTCTTTTTAACAACTAGGTCACACTGTTGGCTCATGTTTATGGGCATTCAACTTCTTTGCACATGTATTACCACCAGGTCAAGCCTCACCAATTCTATTTTTCTGCCTTACATTTTTCCTATTCACATGCAGAATGTTATGTTTTTCCTGTTAAATTCCATCCTATTCATGCCTGCCCACTGAAAAACCCTGTCTCCATCATTTTGAATTTTCTGTCTAAAGTATTAGCTACTCCTTCCAGTTTTGTGTCATCTGCAAATTTTGTAAGTGTTCCTCAACTCCATCCAGGTGAGTGATAAAAGTGCTAAAACAGCAGAGGGTGCAGGATAGAGCCCTGTAGCGTTCCACTCAATATTTCTCTCCAAGCTGCAGGGGAGCCATTAATCACTTTTTGAGTGCAGTCATTCAGCCTACTGTGAGTTCATCTAACAGTAGTATCATTTAGCTTATATTTTACCATTTCAATGAAGGAGAATATCATGAGGCACTCTGTCAAAGGCTTTGCTACGGTCTATCTACCTCTGTCTATAGCATGCCTTTGATTTACTAAGTAACTATCACAGAAGATACCGTTAGTCGTGTACAATTTGTGACAAACCCATGCTAGGTTCTATTAATTGTACCATATCTAGCCAAGTGCTCACAAACATGCTGTCTGATAATCTGTTCAAAGAAAGACCTTGCCACTATAGACCTCAGGCTGGCAGGTCTGTAATTTGCTAAGTTCTCCTTCCCCATGCATGGCCTTTTAGAGAGTTCTCCGTGTATCCATACTGGCTTCTTCGGATTTTTCTTGTTCTTCCTCATGGGAATTATTTGCAGTTGCATCTTCAGTATCTCATTTCATAGCATTTCCCATCCTTCCAGGACATTTTTCTTCATAAGGATTTTAAGCCACTGGAGCCAACCTAGCTTCCCTCCAAGTTTGTCAGAATCCGTTCTTTTGAAGACCAGTATGCAGATCTGATTTCAGTTCCTCCTCCTCTGTGTACCCTAAATTCAATAATAACATCACTTTCTCTCTGTGAGGATAAGGCCCAGGATAGGAGACCTCTTGTTCTTGCTTCGACTTTCTGACAAATGAAGTTGTTGGTAAAAGGACACTAATTTGTTGAACAATTGAAATTCCCACACCCCCAGCCCCATTTCAACTTTGTATAACTCTTTGAAAGACTAGTCACCTCATGCAGTAAGGCCTAATTTGTATATTTTGTCCAAATGGCAGAAATAATGATAAATAAAATAGAGATTTTTTTCAGTGTGTTTGCCCGTATCCCATCTGTCAGCAAATTTTGATTGCTACCACACCAAAATTAGCTACCTGAATGGTTTCCTGTCAGACAAGAGAAGATCCGCATGCAGGCTTTCGTTTTGACCTATATAGCATGATAGCAGGGGAGAAATGAGAGTTTGGTGACTGCCCTGATTATAGGGACAGTATAGCAGCACATGTGCAGTAGTTGCAATGGTTCATGTGCAAATCTCCCATTAAGCACAATAAAGTCTTGTATCTGGATAGGAAAAGTCAAACGCATAGTACAGGACTGAATGTTATTCTGAGGATTTGCATTCTGTGATAATAGCCTATTGCATCTTCATGAAGGATTCCTGAGACGAAATGTGAAGCCCAGGAAGGAAGCATTTGGTTGGCACCTTGTCAGTCTCATCAGGAGGGTGATAAAAGCCCCCAAGCTTAACATGAGTCAAGGACAGGCCATAAAAACAAAGCACAAAGGGAGAACCAGGAGGCCACAATGGGGAGTTTGGCAGGAAAATGATACTAGTAGGTGGTGCCACTCAAAACTTCAGATGTTTCTACACCAATGCATGAAGTGTGCATGTGCACCTTCAAGTCAGTCTTGACTCCTGGCAACTGCCTGGACAAGTCTTTGCAGTTTTCTTAGCAAGATTTTCAGAAGTGATTTGCCATTGCCTCCTTCCTAGGGCTGAGAGTGACTAGCCCAAGGTCACCCAGCTGGCTTTGTGCCTAAGGCAGGACTGCTCTCAGTCTCCCATTTCCTAGCCTGATGCCTTAACTACTACACCAAACTGGCTCTCCTGTACAGTATACTATATCAAAAAGTTGTTCAAGAGCTCACAGGGATCTGGTAATCTCAAGCTTGTATTTGTTCTTCTATTGCTTGCTGTTTTTGTTTTTGTCTGGTGACTGTTTTATGCTAGTGATTGACCAACATAAAGGAATTTACTCACTACAGGACTTTATGATAGCTGCACATCATCCTGATGGCTTTGACCCAACATTCAAATCTGTTGATGTCAGTAAAGCCACTCTTAGGATTAGGGTTGCCTGAAATGTGGCAGCTTTAATGAATTCAGCACCTCTGAATAAATTTGAAGCATGCACAGCCCTACTGGTTATGTCTTGGTCAGCAATTCCCTTGGCAATAGCTGTGAGAATGAATCTGTATCGTCTCTACAGAAGAAATTAATTTAAATAATGTTTTCCTCTAGATGTTCTATTACCTGCTAGTTAATCACTATTCTGTAACACTGCTTTCAGAACAAACATCTTCAATATCTGAGAAAGATCAGTCTATCATCTTGTTGCATATCTAAACACACCACATTCCCCAAGCTCTTAGTTCTCAAAGAACTGAAAGTTCCCTTTCCAGGCCAACTTTATCTGCAGAATCAATATTTCAACTTTTACCTGAGAAAGTGGAATCATTTACCTATGGTTATTCATCACTATATACTTGAATATATAAAAGTCTTGCCAAGATGTATTGGAAGCACAAACATTTAAGGAGAGAGAAAAGCAACACATTTGAAAATGCTTTACAGCATGTTTTATTTCCCATCTCCAATCTGAAACACAAGTTTTGTAGTCTTTGCTTTGAAGACAGTTATATAAACAGCACACTTACTCTGATTGCAATATTGCAGCAGAACCTCCATATATAAAATGTACATTAAAATGGCAAGCACAGTCTTCAACACTTGTTCAAATATCTATTGGCAAATCATCTTTGGCTTGCTTTTCTCGGCTCTCCACCCATGCTTTGTTAATTGTTCTTTTCATCTCATCATCACCTTCTGCATACATCTTTTTTAGTAGATTCATCAATCCTTCACTGGGGTCAGATGTATCATAGGAAGCTTTCCTAAAGGACATACATAGACAGAAAATAAATTATCATGCCACTATGTATTGAGTCTGGTATACTTCATAACAAGAGCTGAATGGCCAAATATTTAAAATTGTATTCCTAAGCACCTTTGCATGATACTGAATTTGTCATTTGAAAAAATAATTTGATTAAAAGTGAACAAACACCATGGAGAAAAATACAAAGCCTGTATTACTTTGCAGTGCCTAACTTGTTTCTTCTCACAAATCTCCCAAAACTGAACTAATGTAATAGCTTTGGAGATCCAGTAATATACACTTATTTATATACATTTGATAAGATTAAAAAGTTCAGTTCATTAAACTGTTTTCTTCACAATTTAAATAGCGTCTAATTATATCTTTCATTTGGGAGTGGAATTCCAAGATGTCATCATTTATCACTCTGATATTCAATATAGTATTCAGTATAAAAATTGTCCTAGCATTTACATATAGCAGTGACAAGTCCACTTATAAATACATGTTATATGAATGAATACACACATATGTCTGTGTATTACATAATTGTATTAATATTCCTTTTTTTATTTATATCCCTCCTTTCTTCCAGAAGTTCAAAAAAAACTAAATAGTTCTCCCTCTTCCATTTTTTCTCTACAACAACCATGTAGGTTGGGCTGAGAGAAAGTGACTGTTTTTTAAGAACACAAGGGGGATCTCATTAAAATTATTTGTTCATGAATTTCAAGAAAAATATTCTGCAATATATAATAGAAATAGAAATCAAAAGTTTATCCTGCTTTTACTTAGAAGATAGGAAAGAGGCCAAAACATTCCAGAAAAGAAAAAAGATTTAACAGAGTTTCTGCATTAAAGGGTTTGGGTTTTTTAATGAATATGTTTCAGCAACTGGGACATAAAATGCAATTGCTATAGAAATCTGGATTATTCTTTCCCCACTAAGCTTCTTAAGTTCGATGGCTGGTGTAGGTCTTCCTGGCTGTGTGGCCATGTTCTGGAAGTTTTGTTTCCTAACGTTTCGCCAGCACCTGTGACCGGCATCTTCAGAG